CAAGAAAACACGGGTCAACAGTGATGCGGATGATGAGCTACGGGATTACTGCCAGTGGACACCGCATATCCCCACAATGGATAATCCACTGGAGTGGTGGGCAGAAAACGTGCACCGCTTCCCCCGCTTTCGAGGAGCTACCTGGCTATTCCAGCCACAAGCACCCCGAGTGAGAGGGTTTTTTCCCTGGCAGGCAACACTGTCACCCGAAAGCGGTCAAGCCTCCTTCCCTAACATGTCGATGCGTTGGTGTTCAAACCAAACCAAAAATATGGAAAGGTGGACGTTATCGTGGAGGACAGCGAATAAAGTGTTGCGCACTGTTGCGATGGATTTACGTGGCATTTATGTAAACAAGAGTTTTTTGCTGTCGATTTTGGTGAGTCCAGTTACTGTTTGTTATTTACTCAGCCATGTAACACAAATTAAAATGCAGTGTTTAATGTTACTGTATGAGTTCCAATATAAAATACAGTTGTACACCTCTCTTTGTGTGTCTTTATTATGACGTAACGACTAGTCGACTACTATTTTGAAAAATGTGTCGACTAGTAAATATTGGTAGTTGTGAAACCCCTAGTTGTGTGTGTGTGTCCGTTTCCTCCTTTGTGTATGGTTATAGTTACTTTGGTGTTTAGCAATATCTCAATGTTTTTTTATTGTCTTTTACATTGAATATTTGTCTTCTTAATTTTGATACTTGCTCTGATGTAGCAACTCATTTAGACCAACCTTGATGCATTTCTTGATCTCTTCCACCACTCTGCTCTGGATGGAGGGTTCACAGAGGACGAAGTCAGGAGCGATGCACGTCTGGCCACAGTTCACGAACTTTCCCCAGGTGATGCGACTGTATTGGGGGAAAAATCATTCAAAAGCTGCTTCCCCACTGCGGTGTGTTTGATATTTATGTAAAGCTTTCAGACTGACCGGCATGCCATGCTGATGTCACAGTTCTTGTCGATGTAACAGGGGCTCTTCCCCCCCAGCTCCAGGGTCACTGGGGTGAGGTGGCGAGCCGCGGCCTCCATCACTATTCTACCCACGGTGCTGCTGCCTGTGTAGAAGACGTGGTCAAACCTCTGCTTCAGCAGCTCCTGGGTCTCTGACACTCCGCCCGTCACCACAGGGAACAGATCCTAGGGAGAGGATACGCAGCCATTAGATAAAGGTACATGAAGATAAAGGTGAAATCATTCATACAGAAAAAAACAGCAGGCTCACTTTGTCTAGATACTGAGGGAGGAGTTCCTCCATGACCTTGGAAGAGTTAGAGCTGACCTCTGACGGCTTTATTATTGCTGCATTACCTGAGAGAGAAAACATAGACACAATGATAAGCCTTAAAGGGGCCCTGTTCTGCTGATTTTCAGGGTTAGGCACGGGGAAAATAAACTTTGGGATTTAAGCCTTCGCAGACCATTCATATGCACAAAACCCTACATAACACACCAGAGGAAAGGTAAAACCCCCAAAAGGGTTATAAGGCCCCTTAAATCACTTAGCCAAACTTCCTGAGTCAATCTGTTATAGTTCATTAATTATTGTGGAAAAATGTTGCTGCCTGTTAATTGTAAGCACAAGCACCGAGTGACAAGACGTTAGGTGTGGACTCCTTTAGAGCTGCAAGAATGAGTAGATCCACAGAAAGTAGTGCCCAATGTGAAAGTCAATTTGAATGCAAAAATGTAGATCTGTAGGTTTTGGATTGACAAAAACAAGAAATGTAAAGACTTTGACTTTGATTATTTGCTTGAATAATCAATTGAACCACTGAATAATCCGCAGATAAATCATGATTAAAACAATGGTTAGTTGCATGCTTGCAGTGTTTCACTGGGAGGGAGTGCTGGTTTATAATAGTTGTGACTGCACAATTTATATTTCTTAGAAACCGTCTTCTCCCCGACACTGCGTTGTGTTTTAAAGATGGATCCGACGTGAGAACAAACTCCTCAAGGATGTCAAATCTGGTCATTCACATTATTGACCCTTGTGCCGCTGTAGTCATTTTCTTACACTGTCAACTGTCATACTTATACCATGTTAGAAAAATGGAACAGGTCTAACACCATAAGATTGCCCCTGGGTCTTAGGGTCTGGATTGCTTGCATACTCTTTTCACATGTTTCTCCTACTACAAAGCAAACTAACTGCATTTTGGAAACTGGGATATGAATGTTGTTGCAGCCACACTACTCACGCACTGTGGCTGCATTGCATTCTGCTCTAGAATCCTTTTTAATAAGTTATACATCATTTGTGATGTATTTCTCCCTGTTTGATTTTCCAAAGCCAGACTAATACCCTAATGCAATTTACACTTTATTTTTCAATCTGTAAACGGTATCAGCATTGTGTATCTGTTATTTGTTTTTTCACTTATTGTGTTTTTATTATTAAAATGTGTCCCTACTTTTTTATATAACATATAATATCTACTCTTTTTAATTAATCTGCACTATACTCTTGCAATACCGTACATTTCTCCATAGCGGGACAAATAAAGGATTTCTGATTCTGATTCTTGTGAGTGTGTATGGGAAAATGCAGTACCAGCAGCGATGGCTGCCACCAGCGGCTGCAGGGTGATGGCCCAGGGGTAGTTCCAGGCCCCGATGATGAGCACCACCCCCAGAGGCTCCGGCTGCACGTAGACCTCATCTGATATGGTGAGGAGGTTCTTCTCCACCGGCCGAGGAGCCGCCCACTCTGCCAGCTTCCCTATAGCCAGCTTGATTTCTCCCTCCAGTCCCAGGGTCTCAAACAGCTCGGTCCCATTTGCACTCTGAAAGCAGAAGAATCAAGTCCAGAGTTCATTTGTTGTTATCTGTTGTGCTGGAGCTTGTTTAAATTGGTGAACATTATTTATTAAAGTTCAAAAGCTACATGGCAGTAATTATTCATTATTAAGTATTAATTACACGACAAATTGATTTAATTTAGTTAGTGTTATGTGCTCTTTAGCTTGTAATGTGTGTGTATATTACATAACATTGCTCAATTTGATCGGTAAGTGACATATATTGTAAATATTTTCTGTTTAGGGTCTGGTCCCCTAATCTTCGAGTAGCTCAACGGGGTGTCCCATTTCACAAATCCCCACCATGACGTATGATGTTACTTGAATATTTAAATTTGTTTGTGAATAAAATCAATTGAAAATTAATATGTTGTTCAATAGAGACTGAAATGTATCTTTGCATTGAATGTTTGAACGATGTTGGATAATGCAACCTGCGGTCCAGTGAGCTGCCAGTATTTAGACACACTGAAAGCTTAAAACTGGTCTGTGTATACAGTGTGACTTATCCACCTTGCCAAGGTCCTTTTTGACAGCATCTGCTATGTCCCTGCGTCTCTCTGTGATGAAGCGGAGCAGGCTCTTCAGCTGGTGGATCCTGTACTCCAGAGGCTTGCTCTTCCCTGTCTGGAAGGACTTCCTGGCCCGCTGTACAGCCAGCTGTTCCCGGGACATCTTTAATAAAGAATATAAACAGTATGAGGCCCTCACCCTATGCATTCAATTCCATCGAAGCCAACTTTAACTTCCAGGTTGATTAAGACATTTAGACAGTTAAGAAAGCCAAAAGCTAATTCTACCAAAAGATGACCTATTGATGTTTCAATGGCTAATGTTATGTCACAAAAAGTAATAGCATGACATTTATTTGCTATACAAGTGCATTATGTACATTTCCTTTGCTGATAAACAATAAAACCCTGACAATTAATGTATGATCATAGCTCATACAAGCTAGCTGTAATAGGCTACATAGCATACACATTTAATAACTTTAATACTTAAATTAGTGTGCATACTTTGTGCAGCCCTACCTTTGTTGGAGCTATCATTGCACTATAAAGCAAACACTAATAATACTCGCTATACTAGATTAACCAGTAACTTTGCTGTAAAAGCCAGACTGGCTTAGCTTTTTAGCTAACAGCATAGCATTGCAAACATATTGTTAAATAGTTAACGCACGCCATAGAAAAAACCCAACATAAATACGGTTTTAACAGCTATGTAAGCGACACCTTACCTTTTAGTATTAATTGTTGACGATGTTAGCCTAGTTACAAAGTTATGAGGTCGTGCGTTTGTCGTTAGCTTCAGCCAGACGGCGTCAGCAATTGGTTTGAAGGTGTGTCCATCAAGGAAATAACCAATCAGCTTCAAGATACAATCAGCTGACCGCCCTACATCACAATAACAACAACAATGTAGCAGGAAGTTAACAGGCCCATCTAAGGAAGCTATTTCAGCAACTAAGGATTTTTGAAAATCCTGTAGGTCATTATTATGACTTACTATCTCACAATGTTTACTGTTTATCTACTTATCATAACTTACATTTAAAAAAATTATCCTGTTTTGCAAAAAGTATCCTAAATATTTGTTAGCGGCTTAATAAAGGCACTGGATAGGAACACAGACAATGTGAGTTGAACAGATACAGATAATGCTGTACAGTGTTATCCATACTTGATATACTTATAAATGCAGTCTATAACACTGTTGATGAACCTTATATGTTATACATATGAAGGAAGATATGTGGTAGATTGGGACATTTCATGGAAAACAGACTGGACAGCGGCAACAAACACTAAACGTAGATTATAACAAGACACATGGGTAATGAGTACCTAATTATGACTTTGTTATTCCATAATGTTTGCTAATGTTCTCTAATGTATGCTAATTATTTGAAAAGGTTATAAAAATAAATGGTTTGTGGAAATATTGAAAGCTAATGGAATTCTGGAAAAGGGGTTGATGAATGAGATTTACTTGAATTGTTAAAAGGACAAAAAGGTTACTTGTTTTTTATATTAATCGTAATCATTTATTTATAGTCATTATCTCCATATATAAACCTTTTTAACATTTCATCAAAATAGCCAAGCTCGAAAAAATAAAACACAGCAACGCTTTTTAATGTATTCTCTTTTTAATAACAAAGACTGCATTTGGGTTATATAAAGAACAAAGACTGACAGCCCTCAGTGAGGGAGACGAGTGTAACATTAACATTTCTCTGAAAAAAAAAATGGGTGCTTGAAAGTGTTGCATTTTCAGGGTCATGACTGACGGCAGGTTTCTTCTAAATGCATTCAGATCAAGCTGGAGAGGCACAAAACAACGGGGTACATACAGTACATTCAACATTCTAGAGGTTCTAACGGGGTAAAAATGTAGCCTCAGTAGTACCCATGCTCCATCTTAAAACAGTCCAATTTCAGTTACAGTCCATGGACACAAATGGTACAGAACGAAGATTGGGGCGGGTTTCCGTCAGCCTTTGTTGTCCCTCTTCACTCCGTGTGCAGTAAAAGGCTTTGTGTGGTTCAGAGTGCTCATGACGAGAACGAAGTAAACCCAGATATGTCTTTTAAAAATAAAAATAAAAGAGTACATGAGAGAAACAGGCCTAAGGTGCCTGTGAATGCATCTATACACATTTATACACAGAAAAATAATGTATTCACACCTGTACAGAGGAGTAGGACTTCGTCTGCTTTCACATGAAGAAGGCACCTCCTTTTCCATCACTAACTGTTTACTACTGGCCTTAATGCACACCTGGCAAGTGTGTCTATATACACCGACTCATACATACTTACAGTACATACACTTTTAGGAGCACAGCAGATGAGGGGAGGCAAAGGGACAGAGCGGATGCTAGGCAGTGCAGATTGTGACAAATCAAGTACAATATTGGGAAATTAGTATCTATTTCAGAAACGTTGCCACTAAGCAAATATGTGTCTTGATCTGAACAACAAACAGTCCTGATAGAAAGAGTTCTCCGGAAAGAGCTGCCACGAGTTAGAGTCTATTCTTTGGCACACCCCTGTTGTGCCAAAAAAAGGTTTCTCTTATTAAAAAAAAAAACCCTTGGCAGACATGAATAAAATGTATCAAATTCAGCTATGTACATATAAAGATTTGTGCTCTTTGACTGACAGGCAGGCCATCTGACAGCGTCACCGACACCCCATAAACACACACAGCCCCTCCCGAAAACAGGGGAGGGGAATCATCACATGCACCACATACAAATATTTACAAGATTGCAAACATCAAGTTTTGTTAAAAAAAAAAAATACTACAGATACTGACGGAACATAAAAGCTGTATTCCTTTAGTAAAATTAAACGTATTAAGTCGTCATGTTTATGTATATTTTGAACTCCTTTACATTCCTACAAAACGGGGTAACGAGGGAAATACATGTCAATAGTTTTTAGATGTTTTCTTGTTGCGAGTGGAAAATGAACATCTGGTTGATACAAGCCAATCAAAATTCCCCTGCTATGTCATTTTGTGTGAATAATCGTATCAACAACTGCACCTTAATGGTAAAGACTTAAATTGTTGTTCCATGGCTAAAAATAATTTCAATCGGCCATCAAGAGAACATTTATTTGATCTTAAAAGAAGAGCTCTAGGCAATTTGTCTCGTCTAAGATAACCATTTCCCTGGTTGCTCTGCCTTATGGGAAATGTATGCATTCAGTTAATCAGTAAGTATTGAGGGGTGGGAGCAGGAGCAATCGTTCCCCTGCCTTCACATGTATACCTTCAGATTTTATACTGACACACCTCTCCACAGTAAAGTGCTTGAGCTAAAAACATATCAAATCTACAGGTTCCTTTGCTCACACGGCTGTCGTTTTCTGTGAAAACCGTTTGTGTTTCATGTAAAAATTGTTGGATTTGTTACAGTGATCAGCCATCTGCTTGATTTCCTTCCGCTCCAATACTTGAGGTTATTTCAAAATAGGCAGGAGACTCCATGTTCTTCTGAACCAATAAATAAGAACAATAACAACTTAAACAGAGAGTAAATAACAACTGATATCACAGGGTAAGCAGGTTTTTTTTTCTTTTTAAACTGCTCCAGGGGGAGTCTCTTGAGGCCGTGTCATAGTCCTGTCCATCCTCTTGTTCTTCTGGTAAAAAACAATAATATCCTGAAAGATGGAAATATGTTTTTTATATATATTTATGTTGATCAGATGGATTTTTCACCATCATGGCGTAGGAAGAAAAATGCACATGGAGGTGCATGCATTGTGTCCACATCCAGTTTCAGTCTTTAGTTACTGGATCATCTTTGGTTGTTTTGTGCATCAGTCGCTGGTCACAGCTCAGTCCGTGATGCAGCCAGTACAGATGAAACTGGCAAATGAAAAGTGCTTGAACTGCTACAGGAGGATCAGGGTCTTTGTGAGGATGGTAGTTACTAGTCTTAGGACGTGGTCCCTGTGTGTGTGTGTGTGTGTGTGTGTGTGTGTGTGTGTGTGTGTGTGTGTGTGTGTGTGTGTGTGTGTGTGTGT